CCTCGGAGCGCGACAAGGTGGAGTCATGTATAAGGAAAAGGGGCGGGATGGGGAGAGCGAGGAGGGGGAGGGGGGATAACTAGAACTGGAACAACTCATGGAGTCCCGACTGTGCTATCTGCCTCACGACATGAACACACAATGCAATTCGGCACGCGCTAGGTCTCTGAGGCGGGCCACCACGGACCCCGCGACCACTTTCGAAGGCGAAAGCTTCGCTCAACCAAACAAAGGCATTGGCCTCGTCCGACGCTCCACTGGGCGCGCATCGAGCAACAGGAGGTCGGCCCGAAAGCTCAGTGAGCTCCTCTCCTTCCCCGCCGCCCCCGCGCCGAACCACCACCCGCGCCTTCCCCTCTAGCCTGCGACGGGCGCCTGCTAGCGCAAATTTCGGGATTGGCGGCAGCTCAGAGTCACTGCGCGACGAAGTTCGACGTTCCGATCGTTCCAGAATGTCTGGGGCCACCTGTCCACTCGCAATCAACTGCTGAAGGCGAGCGCTAGTACTCAAGCTCCGCCTGCTCAGTCCACCCAAGCCATGAGCTCGCGGTCGTAGGGCCCCGCGGGACTGATCCCATCAGAAAGTCCCGCCCTCTTAGCCGATCACCGACTCCAAGATCTTCGATGCCTCCATTCACGTCGGCCACTCGAAATCCGCCCCCCGCCGCGGTGACGCACCTCTTCTCCTTGCGCAGGGGCTCGCGCTCGAAAAGCGGAGCTGCTCGACCCGCCGTCTTCAGGTCCGTGTCCAGGCTCATGCATTGCTGCCGCCAGTCCTTGCTCTCCTGCAGACGCTTCTCCTCTGCGGCCTGCGCGGGCCCCGTCGCAGGCGCGCGCGGCGCGCGGCGCTCCGTTGCAGCCGCGGAGATGTGCGCGCGGGGGGGGGCCCTCTCCCCTTGAAGTCCTTCTCCCCACCCTGGTTCTGCGTGGCCTTCATGTCCTGGATCCGGCGGCCGTCGCACCCCTTGCCCGCGACTGCCATCTGCGCGGGGGGGGCCGCGACCGAGCGCGATGTCCGGCCCGACGAAGACGGCACTGTCCGCGACTGCGACCCCGCGCGAAGCGGTGATCAAGGGCCGCGCGACCATCTCGGCGACGCACGCCACGTCCTTGCCGCGCCCGTCGCAGCCCTTCTCTTCCCTCGTCCGCGTCGCGATGCCGCCCGCCGCCGATCCAGCTGCTCGCCCTCGCCGGGGCCTTCCCTCTTCTCGCTGAGCCACGGTGGCGCCGCCAGCTCCGCCGCCGAGGGGCAAAGCTCTGAGGTGCGCGTTCTGACGTGTATGGTGGGGCTGCCACGGGGGGGGCCCAAAAGCGAAATGACTGCATAAACGAGGGAGATCCGCAAGTTCACATTCGCATAGAAAATACTTCCAACTCTGAGGTTGCTGCATCTCCCCCAGCGCCCACGGCGCGATAGCGCGGCAACTGCCTCTGAGGATCGGGCCCGAGAGATCCGTGGAAGCTGCGATATTGCCCGAGAAAGCCTGCCTGCAGCGCGCGCGCATGCGGGGGGGGTGTCTCACGCGCTAGGCTTCGCGCGTCATGCTGGGCCCCATAATCGTTCATGCATGTCTCGCGAGCGAGGCAGAGCTCCCCGCGCATGCCCTTATCCGCGCGACCTCGGCAATGAAACTGCGGGCCCCCGCCGGGAACTGCAGGAGGCCCCTCAAACTCAGCGCGCGCCAACGCGTGACCTGGAGGAGGGGCCTGAACCCGAGTCCTGTAGCACTCTCATGTCAACAGTACCAGACTCGCCCATCTCCTCCGTTTTTCCGCGCAACGTATGGCCCCGCAGCAGCGCGTCAATCACCTCGCCATCGACGGTTCCTGCGGCGAACTCAAGATCGCGCGACAACTGGCGCAACCTCGGAGGCGCCGCCTCGGAAGAGGGGCCCCGTGGAGCATCTGCGGCAGGAACCCCGCCGCCGCCCCGCGCTCGAGCTCCCCGAACACGGCGCGCGACGGCCGGATGTGATGTCCGACCCTGGTGCCACTTCAGTCGGCGAATCTTCAATTCGCTTTCGCTGTCAAGCACTCGCCAATACACCCTGCGAAATGCTTTAGAAATCATGGGTTAAGAAATTCATAGTCTCAGAACTTGAATAAAAAACCCAACATTTCCATTAACATCTTAAGATTTACATTGAAACGTTAAGAATAATCGAGGCTCTGGCCGAAAACTTAAGTTTTCTTAAGCATCGCCTAAGGTGTACGTAAGGACCTAGGAGGTGCGAAAGCGACTCGTAGTCTTGGTTTCCTCGCGCACCGTCGCTCTCCCCAGCGTCGCACTCCGCGCCATGGGGGGCCGAACAACCGTCCAGGCGGCGGCGATCGGCCTTGCTTGGAACGAACGGCGCCAAGCCTGAGGGCGGAGCATTGTGCGCGCTGCCCACGAGCAAGCACGTGCGCAACTTTAAAAAGGATGGCCAGCGACCATAGGCCACCGACGCGGTAGCCTGCAGTCCTTGCTGCCAAGCAGCCCCCAGTGACATCCTGGCGGCTGGAATCTCGAACTCGGCAGCGGGGGCCCAAGCGCATCGCGATGTCCTTGATTTTTTCCCTGGATGCCCGCGATGCCCTTTCGGGTTGCCTGCCGAGCCCGAGTCCACTGGGAAGCGAAATGCGTCGAACACTCTTGCTTCTGGACGTACCCAAAGGGCTTCATCACTGAATCGAAAGCCCCGTCCATCTCCTGAACGTTCCCGAAAAGGCACCCCAGGGTGACGTTACTCGAGGCCACAATGGTTTTGTTTACATCAGATGCATGCGTCAACAACCTGAAACCACACTGAAACTCCAGCCACTTCGAAACGAGGAAACGCGACACCAAGTCGACTCGACCCCATTACTCGGCTCACTGCAGAGCAGCCCGAGAAAAGTACCTAAGAACGCGGCCATGGTGAAGGCCCCCCCCCTCTGACGCCGCCTCGGAACGGTTTGACAAGAATGGTGGTCTCACCAGCAGTTAATTCAACCATGCTCTTCTCCCATTACTACCTGCAGAGGGCACGATTCGTCTCCGAGGTGGACTGCGCAATCGCGATTTCTGAGTCTGTGCAATCAGAACTCCCACAGGCGCTGGTCATGTCCTTAAGGATCATCACAAAAGAGCGCTTCACACGACACAATCACCAACAACTCATCTGAACAATGCAAATGGCGGCCTCACGCAGCTAGTGCGAAATCAATACATGATGATGTTGAAAGGGCACTCTGCTCAACACTCGTGAATAGAAGGCCTTCCCCAGGACATGTAAAACATGAACGACGAATTTCCCTCTGGGTCCATGTTGGGCACTGTTTGGAAGCCGCGTTCCCGATTTCGATGCAAACATACCGGCGTCGTATAATAGTGCCTTGTTTTTTGCGAAGCCCACCGAGATGATCCACCACAACCAAGGGGCTCTTGGCATAGAAGCATCATAACCCACGCCCCCTTGCTGCTGAACCTTCCTCGTAGAAAAAAACAACTGATGCCATAAATGTGGCGCGCTGCCTTCTGGAACCGCTCTACGCTCAGGTGCCCTCTTGATATAGAACCGAATATGATTTAAACCTTGTTGCGACAGCTCCAACTCCTCCTCCTCCTCCATCAAATCCCATTGGTATACCTCCCCCTCCCTCTTCGCTCGCCAAGTCTCCCAGCCCGCTTCCTCCACCGTCATATATTCTTTACTTCCAGGAGCTTGCCAGACCTGGAGCCATTGCTCATGACTCGGAGGGGGCGCCTGCACCAGACGTCCGTTTCGATTCATCGGGCCAATTCTACATCGAGCGGCACGCCTGGATAATGAAAATGTCTCTGACGTAAACCTCCTGCGCCACTGCTCAGAAGTTTCTTCCACCGACTGTGAGCGCAGGGCACGTGCTGCGCTGCGTCGCCCAGCAGAAAGGTCAGAAGAGAGAGAGCGCAAAGCTCATCATCAACCTCAAGTGCAGCTGCCTCGTCGTCGTCGTCGACGGCGTTGGAAGAGGAGGAGGTAGGTTTACTTTGGTCCTCCTCCTCCTCCCCCTCCTCCTTTTCATTCCGCTTCTCCTGCCGCTGCCGATGGTTTGGTCCTCCGCCGCCTCCTTTCCCTTCTCCTTACGTTTCTCTTTCCGCTCCGTTTCTCATTCTGTTGGATCCTCCTCCTCCTCCTCCTCCTCATTCTCCTCCTCTTCCTCCTTCTCCTTCCGTTTCTTCTTTCAGTTCCTCCTCCTGCTCCTCCTGCTCCTCCCTCTCTGGATGGCTCCTCTCCTGGAAGTATCAAGAGGCCTCCCGATGCCAACACGGGCTCCAAAGCATCTCCAAACCCTGAACCTGCATCCCCAACGCATTCCCAAACCACCCCCATAGTTTTTTTGTATCTGCATACCAAAACCAGAAGCCTCCCGATCCCACTACCCCTCCTTGCCCTCTCGATCCCTCGCTCCCTCCTGCACTCTTTGCCTCCTCCCTCAAACATCCTGGCCGCTGCTTTCGCGTTCCCCGGAATCACTGCGCAAGCTTTCGCAATGAGGATGGTAACGGCTGCTCGCATTTGCCCTGATGGTGGTGGTCTTCATCGTGACTTGAGCTGTCGCATCGCGACAAGGCCCATTTCCGTACTTCCCTTTCCTGCCTTCCCATGCTTCAATCCCTTGGTCACCTTACTCTCCTTGCGGCTGCCACATGCCACTGTTCGTGCACACTGGTCGACAGGGGCCCTCAGCGGGTCAATCATGCTAGCGATCGGCGACGATCGCTGGTCAGCTGGTCGGAAATTGGATGACACATACAGAAAGACACTCAAGTAACATAATGGGCATCACACCTAGACAGCGAGAAGCTTGCAATCCACGTAAGTCGCCAGATAATCCGCAGGGTTGTCTGGCAGAACTTTGCACATCTCGATGAGCCCCTCAGTCAGCGTGGGGATCATGCACCTGCAAGACGTAATGCGCAACACATTCGCAGCAACGTCGGAGCTCGTTCGGAAGTGCACCCAAGAGACATGAAAACTGACGACAAGGAGGGCGAAATGGACGACAAAGAGAAATGGATCCTTCGGCCCATTTATGCGGGCAGTCAGGCAGCGTAGATTAGATTCTAGCATCTGAACAGTTCAGTTCACGGCAATGTAATCAAGCAGCTGGCAATATTGCAACATCCGGAGAAACCAAATCATTGAACATCTACAAGTTCTGCCGATCTCATTCGCCAGGCTTCGCAAGGAGCGAATTGATCAGATTACCTACTCGTGACGTTCTGCATTTCCAAGAGCGCGGGCACATCTCCTGGGCCAACGAGGAACCCGTTATAATGTCCAACGAATGTTTCATCAGCCCGTGCGTTTTGGGGCACGAGCGAATACAATGCCACGGTCGCCATCCGCAATGAAACAACGGACCCGCGCACCCGAATTCAGGATCCCCCGAACAGAAATCACACCCTTGCGGCAGCATGCCCGAAACAACTTTGCTGCGTGGCGCAGTTAGGGGCATAAGCGGAGACTCCTCGAATTATCAATGGGACAACGGGAGCCAACGGGGGAGAACGGGAGACTATTTGAGAGAACGGGAGAAAACGGGAGGGAACATGACAAGACGGGAGAAGACGGGAGAAACCAGTAGACAACGGGGGACAGCAGGAGACAGCGGGAGACAACGAGAGACAACGGGAGACAACTGGACACACTGGGCGACAGTGGGGGGAGGCAACTGGAGACATTGGGAGACAACGGGGAACAACAAGAAACAGCGGGAGACAACGGGTGACAGCTGGAGGCAACGGGAGGCAGCGGGAGACAACAACTGACAACAAGAGACAACGTGAGACGGGGACACAAGCAGAACCCGCCCACCCCCCGTCGCAGCTACGCGCCCCCCCCAGGCGCGGGGGGGCTGCCCCCGCGGCAGCACCGCGGTGCACGGGTGCCGCCTTCGCATCCGAGCGCGGGCTGCCGCTTCCTCGCCGGGGCGCTGCCGCAACTGCCCCCGCTCCGTCCTCGCGGCGTCGTCCGCGGCGTGCCGGGCGGGGCTGTCCGCGGAGCGGCCGCCCCCTCCACGGCGACCGACCCGCGGTGCCCCTCGGTGGCCAGCATCGCCCCGTCGAAATCGATTTTCTGAAAATTGCTGGGGTCGCCCGCTTCCTGGCCCCTCTCGGGTGGCATCGACCCGTTTCAGGTTCCAGAATCACCCTGGAACGGTTCCGGGGTGAAAATTGGAACCTGAAGCGGGTGATTTTCCATCTGGGCGCTCTCGGGAGCCTTGCGGGCGCATCTTGGGGAAGGGGGCTGGTGTACCCGAGCTCCCAAAATGACCATTTTCCAAATGAAATCTCTTATTGGGGAGCTTGTTTTTCGCGGCTGGGCCCTCCCGCGCAGCGTCGGGGGTCCCAGATGGATTTTCACCCCGGAAGCGTTCCAGGGTGAAAATCCATCTGGAACCCCCTCCCGACGCAAAACGGCTCTGTCGGGGATGGGGGAGGTGTACCCGAGCTCCCAAAATGGCAATTTTCCAAATGAAATCTCTTATTGAAGGGCTTGTTTTTCGCGGCTGGGCCCTGCCGCGCAGCGTCGGGAGGTCCCAAATGGATTTTCACCCCGGAACCGTTCCAGCGTGAAAATCCATCTGGAACCCCCTCCCGACGCAAAGTGGCTCTGTCGGGGATGGGGGGGCGTACCCGAGCTCCCAAAATTTGCATTTTCCAAATGAAATCTCTTATTGGGGAGCTTGTTTTTCGCGGCTGGGCCCTGCCGCGCAGCGTCGGGAGGTCCCAAATGGATTTTCACCCCGGAACCGTTCCAGGGTGAAAATCCATCTGGAACCCCCCTCGAAGCAAAACGGCTCTGTCGGGGATGGGGGGTGGCGTACCCGAGCTCCCAAAATGGCAATTTTCCAAATGAAATCTCTTATTGGGGAGCTCGTTTTTCGCGGCTGGGCCCTGCCGCGCAGCGTCGGGAGGTCCCAGATGGATCTTCACCCCGGAACCGTTCCAGTGTGAAAATCCATCTGGAACCCCCTCCCGACGCAAAACGGCTCTGTCGGGGATGGGGGAGGGGTGTACCCGAGCTCCCAGAATGGCTATTTTCCAAATGAAATCTCTTATTGGGGAGCTAGTTTTTCGCGGCTGGGCCTTGCCGCGCAGCGTCGGGAGGTCCCAAATGGATTTTCACCCCGGAACCGTTCCAGCGTGAAAATCCATCTGGAACCCTCTCCCGACGCAAAACGGCTCTGTCGGGGACGGGGGGGCGGCGTACCCGAGCTCCCCAAATGGCAATTTTCCACATGAAATCTCTTATTGGGGAACTCGTTTTTCGCGGCTGGGCCCTGCCGCGCAGCGTCGGGAGGTCCCAGATGGATCTTCACCCCGGAACCGTTCCACAATGAAAATCCATCTGGAACCCCCTCCCGACGCGAAACGGCTCTGTCGGGGATGGGGGAGCGTGCCCGAGCTCCCAAAATGGTCATTTTCCAAATGAAATCTCTTAGTGGGGAGCTTGTTTTTCGCGGCTGGGCCCTGCCGCGCAGCGTCGGGAGGTCCCAGATGGATTTTCACCCCGGAACCGCTCCAGGGTGAAAATCCATCTGGAACCCCCTCCCGACGCAAAACGGCTCTGTCAGGGATGGGGGTGGGGTGTACCCGAGCTCCCAAAATGACAATTTTCCACATGAACCTCTTATTGGGGAGCTCGTTTTTCGCGGTTGGGCCCTGCCGCGCAGCGTCGGGAGGTCCCAGATGGATTTTCACGCCAGAATCGTTCCAGGGTGAAAATCCATCTGGGACCCTCTCCCGACGCATCTGGATCCCTCCCCAAACGCAAAACGGCTCTGTCGGGGCCGGGGGGGCGCGCCCGAGCTCCCAAAATGGTAATTTTCCAAATGAAATCTCTTATTGGGGAACTCGTTTTTCGCGGCTGGGCCCTGCTGCGCAGCGTCGGGAGGTCCCAGATGGATTTTCACATCGGAACCGTTCCAATGTGAAAATCCATCTGGAACCCCCTCCCGACGCAAAACGGCTCTGTCGGGGATGGGGGTGCCCGAGCTCCCAGAATGGCTATTTTCCAAATGAAATCAATCTCTTATGGGGGAGCTCGTTTTTCGCGGCTGGGCCCTGCCGCGCAGCGTCGGGAGGTCCCAGATGGATTTTTACCCTGGAACCGTTCCAGCGTGAAAATCCATCTGGAACCCCCTCCCGAAGCAAAACGGCTTTGTCGGGGATGGGGGGGGGGGTGCCCGAGCACCCAAAAATGACAATTTTCCAAATGAAATCTCTTATTGAAGGGTTTGTTTTTCGCGGCTGGGCCCTGCCGCGCAGCGTCGGCAGGTCTCAAATGGATTTTCACACCGGAACCGCTCCAAGGTGAAAATCCATCTGGAACGCCCTCCCGACGCAAAACGGCTCTGTCGGAGATGGGGGGGCGTGCCCGAGCTCCCAAAATGGCAATTTTCCAAATGAAATCTCTTATTTGGGAGCTCGTTTTTCGCGGCTGGGCCCTGCCGCGCAGCGTCGGGAGGTCCCAGATGGATTTTCGCCCCGGATCCGTCCAGTGTGAAAATCCATCTGGAACCCCTTCCCGACGCAAAGTTTCCAAATGAAATCTCTCATTGGAGAGCTTGTTTTTCGCGGCTGGGCCCTGCCGCGCAGCGTCGGGAGGCCCCAAATGGATTTTCACCCCGGAACCGCTTCAGGGTGAAAATCCATCTGGGACCCTCTCCCGACGCAAAACGGCTCTGTCGGGGATGGGGGGGGGGGGTGCCCGAAGGCTCGCAAAATTGTCATTTTGCAAATGAATCTCTTTAATTGGGGTGCTCGTTTTTTCGCGGCTGGGCCCTGCCGCGCAGCGTCGGGAGGTTCCAGATGGATTTTCACCCCGGAACCGTTCCAGGGTGAAAATCCATCTGGGACCCTCTCCCGACGCAAAACGGCTCTGTCGGGGATGGCGGGGGCGTACCCGAGCTCCCAACATGGCCATTTTCCAAATGAAATCTCTTATTGGGGAGCTCGTTTTTCGCGGCTGGGCCCTGCCGCGCAGCGTCGAGAGGTTCCAAATGTATTTTCACACCGGAACCGTTCCAGGGTGAAAATCCATCTGGAACCCTCTCCCGACGCAAAACGGCTCTGTCGGGGATGGGGGGGGCGTACCCGAGCTCCCAACATGGCCATTTTCCAAATGAAATCTCTTATTGGGGAGCTCGTTTTTCGCGGCTGGGCCCTGCCGCGCAGCGTCGGGAGGTCCCAGATGGATTTTCACCCCGGAACCGTTCCAAGGTGAAAATCCATCTGGAACCCCCTCCCGACGCAAAAGGGCTCTGTCGGGGATGTGTGAGGCGTACCCGAGCTCCCAAAATGGCAATTTTCCAAATGAAATCTCTTATTGGGGAGCTCGTTTTTCGCGGCTGGGCCCTGCCGCGCAGCGTCGGGAGGTCCCAGATGGATTTTCACCCCGGAACCGTTCCAATGTGAAAATCCATCTGGAACCCCCTCCCGACGCAGAACCGCTCTGTCGGGGATGGGTGAGGCGTGCCCGAGCTTTCAAAATGGCCATTTTCCAAATGAAATCTCTTATTGGGGAGCTCGTTTTTCGCGGCTGGGCCCTGCCGCGCGGCGTCGGGAGGTCCCAGATGGATTTTCACCCCGGAACCGTTCCAGGGTGAAAATCCATCTGGAACCCCCTCCCGACGCAAAAGGGCTCTGTCGGGGATGGGGGGGGGCGTACCCGAGCTCCCAAAATGGCCATTTTCCAAATGAAATCTCTTATTGGGGAGCTCGTTTTTCGCGGCTGGGCCCTGCCGCGCAGCGTCGGGAGGTCCCAGATGGATTTTCACCCCGGAACCGTTCCAGGGTGAAAATCCATTTGGAACCCCCTTTGACGCAAAAGGGCTCTGTCGGGGATGGGGGGGGCGTACCCGAGCTCCCAAAGTGGCACTTTTCCAAATGAAATCTCTTATTGGGGAGCTCGTTTTTCGCGGCTGGGCCCTCCCGCGCAGCGCCGAGAGGTTCCAGATGGACACTCACCCCGGAACCGCTCCAGGGTGCAAATCCATCTGGAACCCCCTCCCGACGCAAAACCGCTTTGTCGGGGACGAGGGGGCGTGCCCGAGCTCCCCAAATGGCAATTTTCCAAATGAAATCTCTTATTGGGGAGCTTGTTTTTCGCGGCTGGGCCCTGCCGCGCAGCGTCGGGAGGTCCCAGTTGGATTTTCACCCCGGAACCGTTCCAGAGTGAAAATCCATCTGGAACCCCCTCCCAACGCAAATCGGCTCTGTCGGGGATGGGGGGGGCGTGCCCGAGCTCCCAAAATGGCCATTTTCCAAATGAAAAATCTCTTAACGACGGCCAATCTTTTCGCGGCCTGAGGCCCGGGGCCGCGCAGCGTCGGGCAGGTCCAGAATGGATTTTCACCCCGGAAAAACCGTTCCAGGAGTTGAAAATCCGATCTGGAGGAATAGGCGGGCTGTCTAGCGAACCCCCTCCCTACGCAAAAGGGCTCTGTCGGGGATGGGAGGGGCGTGCCCGAGCTCCCAAAATGGACATTTTCCAAATGAAATCTCTTATTGGGGAGCTAGTTTTTCGCGGCTGGGCCCTGCCGCGCAGCGTCGGGAGGTCCCAGGTGGATTTTCACCCCGGAACCGTTCCAGGGTGAAAATCCATCTGGAACCCCCTCCCGACGCAAAACGGCTCTGTCGGGGATGGGGGGGGGTGCACCCGAGCTCCCAAAATGGTAATTTTCCAAATGAAATTTCATATTGGGGAGCTTGTTTTTCGCGGCTGGGCCCTCCCGCGCAGCGTCGAGAGGTTCCAGATGGATTTTCACCCCGGAACCGTTCCAGGGTGAAAATCCATCTGGAACCCTCTCCCGACGCAAAACGGCTCTCTTGGTGGCTTCTGTGAGGAGCCCAATCAGAGTTTCTGTAAAGAGTCCAGTGAGGGCTTCTGCAAGGAGCCCAGTGAAGGCTTCTGCAAGGAGCCCAGTGAGGGCTTCTGCAAGGAGCCCAGTGAGGGCTTCTGCAAGGAGCCCAGTGAGGGCTTCTGCAAGGAGCCCAGTGAGGGCTTCTGCAAGGAGCCCAGTGAGGGCTTCTGCAAAGAGCCCAGTGAGGGCTTCTGCAAGGAGCCCAGTGGCTTCTGCAAGGAGCCCAGTGAGGGCTTCCGCAAGGAGCCCAGTGAGGGCTTCTGCAAGAGCCCAGTGAGGGCTTCTGCAAGGAGCCCAGTGAGGGCTTCTGCAAGGAGCCCAGTGAGGGCTTCTGCAAGGAGCCCAGTGAGGGCTTCTGCAAAGAGCCCAGTGAGGGCTTCTGCAAGGAGCCCAGTGAGGGCTTCTGCAAGGAGCCCAGTGAGGGCTTCTGCAAGGAGCCCAGTGAGGGCTTCTGTAAGGAGGCCACTAAGAGGGCTTCTGTAAGGAGCCCAGTGAGGGCTTCTGAAAGGAGGCCACTAAGAGGGCTTCTGAAAGTAGGCCAGTGAGGGCTTCTGAAAGGAGGCCACTAAGAGGGCTTCTGTAAGGAGGCCACTAAGGGCTTCTGTAAGGAGCTCAAAATGTGTCCAGATGGGTTTTCACCCCGGAACGGTTCCAGGGTGATTCCGGAACCTGAAACGGTCAGTGTCAAGTTTCCAGAATCACCCCGGAACGGTTCCAGGTGATTCCGGAACCTGAAACAGAGGATTTTCGTCGAATCGAAGACGGAGGCAGGAGGGAGGAGGAGGGAGGGAGGATCGATCCTCCCTCCCTCCTTCTCTCCTCGGTCTTGTGCCTTGCTGCCTGGCCCCCGATGTGCTTGTTGTTGCTGCAGCCCTCCACCTGCCGCCGCCCACTTTCAGCACGCGCAGAAGAGGGCAGGGGGAGGGGGGAAGGCTTCATGGAAGCACCCCTGCTTCTTGGAAGGCGCGGGCCTTGTCTGTAATGCAGGAAAACGATTTAAAAAAATCGCCCACCCCCCCCCTCCCCCCCGGACCCCCCAAAATGATTGAGTGGGGCGGACCAATAGAATTCAGCCGCCGGAAACTGTTTTTTTAATCGTCCGCCCCCCGGCGTTTGCTTTTGCCCCTTTGGGGGAACTGATTTTCTATTCGTCCTCCTTCGCTCGCTTGATCACCCGCGGAAGCGGGGGGAGGATTGCGGAGGGGGGACGGGGTAATTAGGGAGTAGTTGAGGGAAGGGGTTTTCGAAGAGGCGCTTGATCACCCTCGTCCTTGCGGACGGCCGCCGGTCGTCCTTGCGGACGGCCGCGGCGATTGGGAGGTGGGGGATGAGGAAGAGGAGAAGGAGGAAGAGGAGGAGGGGGGAGGACAAGCTAGCTGCGCTCGCGTCGTATATGACAGCCTACCCCTCCCTCCCATCCCTTACCATGGCGTAGATCCCATCTCTACTCGCAAAATCGGACGTCGAGCGGGGCAGTGATCTCGAAAGGGTACGCGATGCATTGTAGAGCATGGCGTGGCATGGCGTTGAAGAGCACCGCAAAGCGTAGTGTGTCACAACATGGCGTGGCGTGGCATACTGAAGAATTGCATGACATTTTTTTTTGCAGCGCAAAGCATGGCATCGCACAGCGGACCCCAACATAACATTGTATAGCATGGCGTTGATGACCAAAGCGTAGCATGACAGAGCACGACGTGGCACGTAAACACTCCTCCTCCTCCTCCTCCTCTTCCTCCTCCTCCTCCTCCTCCTCCTCCTCCTCCTCCTCCTCCTCCTCTTAATTATTATTCCTCCTCCTTCTCCTCCTCCTCAATTGCGAGGACTGCGGCGCGCGACGACGAGGAGGAAAGGGGGGCGAGACAGCGAGAGGGCCGCCCTCGTCCTTGCGGACGGGGGGGGGGGAGAGAAGGACGAACAGGAGGAGAACGAGGAGGCGGAGGAAACGGAGAAAAAGGAGGAGGAGGACGAGGAGGAGAAGGACGAGGAGGAGGAGGAGGAGGACAAGGAGGAAAAGGAAGGGGAGGAGGAGGAGGAGAGGAGAGGAGGAGGAGGAGGAGGAGGAGGAGGAGAGGAGAGGAGGAGAGGAAGAGGAGGAGGATGAGGAAGAGGAAGACGAGGACGGGGAGGAGAGGGGAGGAGGAGGAGGAGGAGGAGGAGGAGGAGGAGGAGGAGGACGACGACGACGAGCTCGCCCTGAAAAATCACCCCGTCCACCCCTCTGGCCCCCGCGCCCTTGATCGCCACCCCGTGCCCCCCCCCCTGGCCTTCCAGGCAACCCGGAATTGTCAGCCCCCCGTCTGCTTGCCCTGTCCCCCCGCTATTGCGGGGGCGAGGGGGCCCGCGAAACAATTGTTTGAATCGTCCGCCCCAGAAAGTTGTTTTTTTTTCTAATCGTTTCCTTTCATTCGATGCAAGGCCGCCGCCCTGCAAAAAGCGGCTTGCTTCTAAAAAGTTTGCCCCCTCCCCCTGCCCCCTTGGGCGCGCCGCCGACACTCTGGCAGGCGCTGCCCCCGCCAGCGCCCCGGTGGAGGGACGGCCGTCCTCCTCGACGGAGGCCGCGCCGCCGCCGCCGCCGCCGTCGTCGTCGTACGGTCGGTTCGCGTCGTGTTGACCGGCGTCGACCCCGGCGCCGACGCTTCTGGACGCCCGACATGGGCACGGAAAGAATGGGTACAATGCCCAACAGCAGTTCTTGTTCATGTTGAACAGGATTCGCTGTCCACGCCGCCGCGGCCTGTGTCCATTCGGACAGAAGGCCGCCTGCCCAACAACGGCCGCTGTTGCTTCGGGACAACACTTGCTGTTGGGCATTGTGCCCATTCTTTCCGTACCCATTTCGGGCGTCCAAAGACGTTTAATGTGAAACGCCGCCTGCGACCCAGAATCGGTCGATGTTGATTTTATTCCTCTCGCTTCGCGGGGTGCACGTCCGGAGCACGTACAGTCACGTCGCGGGGCCTTCTGGGAGCCTCTTGGGGGCCTCCTGGAGGCCTCTTGGGAGCTTCTTTGGGCCTCTTGGGGACTTCTTCTGGCCTCTTCCCCCCCTTTTTTGACTCCCTCCCCATCTTCCCTTCCAGCGCTGGCTCTAATCATGGGCGCCGCCGTGACCAACTTCCACCTGGCTGGCGCTGCGCCGCAGTTCGTCCAGGGGGGGAAATAATATTACACTCCAGTCGCTATGTGGCCTTTGGGGGGCTTCTTTGGGGCCTTTTGGAGGCTTCTTGGGGACTTTTCGGAGGTCTCTGGGGGGCTTTTTGGGGCCATTTGGGGGCCTCTTGGTGGCCTCTTGGGGCCTCTTGGGGGCGTCTTGGGCCGTCTTGGGGCGCTTTCGCGCCGTTTCGCCCTTTCGGAGGCCGTCTTGGGGGCCTCTCGCGGCCGCCTTGGGGCCCTCTTGGGGTCTTCTTGGGCCGTCTCAGGGGTTTCTTGGACCGTCTTGGGGGCCTCTTTGGGCCGTCTTGTGGCCCTCTGGGGCCGTCTTGGGGCCCCCTTGGGTGTTTCTTGGGCCTTCTTGGGGCCATCTTGGAGGCTGCTCGGGCCGTCATGGGCTTCGGAGAGGCGAAAAAGGCGAGAAAGCTAAAATCTTTCAAAAACGTAAGGAAAATCAATGTTTTTGGCCTCTGGAGGCGCTCTTGTGGGCGCTCTTGGAGCCCTCTTGGGCCGTCTTGGGTTCTTTTTGGGCCCTCTTGGGGCCATCTCGGGCCGTCTTAGGGCCGTCTTGGGCCGTCTTGGGGCCATCTGGAGCCGTCTTGGGGCCCGTTGAGACCCCCAAGAGGGCCAATGTGCCGAAATCATTGATTTCCTATACGTTTTGGTACGTTTTGGGGCCCCAAAAGGGGGGCCGCCAGTTTGGTACGGCGCTGTGGCGCGACTCCAGGGGGGGGTTAGGGGGGGAGACATAATAATGTAATACAATACAATATGTAGCAATTATGCAATCATTGGACACATTGGATCCGCTGCATTACAGCATCCGCGGACCTGCCTCCGGCAACACGTCACTTCCGGACGTGGATTATCTGGTTTACGCCACACCGCCGACCCCTTAGGGTGCTTTGTTTGGGTGCGTCGTTTTTTTTGTGGGGCGGGCCCTGGGCAGTCCGGCTGCAGATGCAGGTTTTGTGGTGTACGTGTGCGTTTCCGGGTAGGGGTGGGGTGAGGGGGGTCTCAAAGTGTCATGTGTTAGTGTTCCGTGCGCGTTGTTCCATTGAGTGGCGCAGTATGGGTTGCTAGCGGGGATCTGGCTCCGGTCGGCGGGTAGGGTGGTGAGGCGGGAAATGGGGAGAAGCAGCATCGAAGAGGATAAGGTGAAGCGGGGCAGGAGGAAGAGGAGAGGAACAAGGAGGAAGCGGAGCAAGAGAAGGACGAGGAGGAGGACAAGGGAGACCCTGAGTAGAGGCTTGTTGTATGTGTATGGGGGTCTCGCGGCACGCCTCTCCAGGGCCTCTGGAAGGCTGTTTTGAAGCCACTTATGCACCGGGATGGAAAAGAAGGGTGAGGAGAAGGAGAGGGACACGGAAGGAACGCTCTTGGTCATGGGCTAATGGGTTAGAGGCTTCTTGGATGTGTATTGGGATCTCGCGGCACGCCTCTCGGAGGCCTGTGGAATACGGTTTTGAAACAATTTGAGGGCCTTTTCGGAGCCTCTGAGGGGCTTCTTGGGGTTCCTTGGGGCCTCTTGGGGGCCTCTTGGGGGCCTCTGGCGGCCTCTTGGGGCACTCTTGGGGCCCCCTGGTGGTCCTGGGGGCGGAAAGCTAGATGTTTTGAATTTTTGGTGGCCCTCTTGGGCCCCTCTTGGTGCCGTCTTGGAGCCCTCTTGGGCCGGCTTGGGGACCTCTTGGGCCGTCTTGGGGCCGTTTCGGAGCCTCTGGGGGGGCTTCTTGGGGGTTCCTTGGGGCGTCTTGGGGGCCTCTTGGAAGCCTCTGGCGGCCTCTTGGGGCACTCTTGGGGCCCCCTGGGGCTCCTGAGGGCGGAAAGCTAGATGTTTTGAATTTTTTGTCGCCCTCTTGGGCCCCTCTTGGTGCCGTCTTGGGGCCCTCTTGGGCCGTCTTGGGGACCTCTTGGGCCGTCTTGGGGCCATCTTGGGCCGTTTTGGGGCCGTCTTGTAGGCATCTTGGGCCGTCTTGGAGCTGTCTTCGGGGCTCCCAGAATCGGTCGATGTTGATTGATGTGACGTTTCTGAAACGGCCGATCGTTCAAGTTTGAAAGATACCCACGGTGTCTGAAACCAGCGCCGGGGTCGTCACGACTGGGAGGTCCTCGCAGTGTTTCGGAGTTTCCATGACAGGGCTCGACCTGAACGCGCTTAGGCGATTTCGTGGGCCGTTTCGTTTTGGCTCCGTTTCGCAGCAGAGACGGAAGGAAAACCAAACGAAGGAACACAATGCATGAACATGAAAACGATCATTCGAAAAAAACACTCTTTAGGCGGGCCCTGTCCCAGACGCGAGCGAGGAGGGGAAATGAGAAGGAGGAGGCCTTTTCAGAAGGTGGCGGGACTTCTCAGAAGCATTCGCGCTTTCTGAGACATGTTCATTGTCCGCGGGGATGGGTTCGCTTCTCAGGAGGCCTTGGGACTTCCGAGCCTTCTGAACAGGCCCGCCTCTTCTCACTTCCCCCCCTGGCTGGGCTCGCCGCCGACAATCCCCTGAGGCTCTCGGAGGACGTCTCCGCCGCCGCGGCCGTCCTGGTCGTCGTCCTGGTCGCCTCCGCCGACGCCGGTCGTCGCCGCCGGTCGCTCGAGGCCTGAGGCCTTCGGGCGCCTCTGGGTCCTGCAGAGGCATGGAGGAGAGAAAAAAATGAAGGAGGAGGAGGAGGAGGAGGAGGAGGAGGAGGAGGAGGAGAGAGGAGAAGGAGGAGGAGAGAGGAGGAAGAGGAGGAGAGAGGCGTAGGAGAGACGAGGAGGAGAAGGAGGAGGAGGAGGAGGAGGAGGAGGAGGAGAGTGAAGAGGGGGGAAGAGGAGGGAAGGGAGGAGGGGAAGAGGAAGGAGTGATGGAGGTTCCCCCTCCATCGAGGTCTGAGGCCTTCGGGCGCCTCTCCGGTGGCGATCCGGGGGCCTCGTGAATTGGCACCGCCGAGAGGGCACCGCCTCGAGGCCTGGCAGCATCATGGCAGAAGCCGGCCTGGCCGCCGGGCCCGCACAGGGAAGGGCTGCGGAGGTGTGCTGCGGAGGTGCTGGCCCGCAGAGGTGCCCCCAGCACCTGGCCCGCGCGTTCGGGCCTGTCCGCCCTGCAGCCCCCGAGGGCCGCGCAAAAGAAGGTACTGTTGCCTGGGCTCCTCTCCTGCGTGCATTGCGAGCCCTGGGCTCATGAACGGGGGAGGGCCCCCCCTCTCCCCGTCCTCTGCGGCCACGCGCCGAGGGGGTCAGGGGGTGTGGGGGGGAGGCCTCTTGGAAGCACCCCTGCTTCTCAGAAGGTGCGGGCCTGATCTGTAGACGCAGAGCCGGCGCCTTCCACGAAGCAGCCCCCATAGGGAGCCTTCCCCCCTCGCCCGAACTGCCCCCTTGTGCGCGCCTCCGGCCTCTCCTTGGGGGCGCGGAGCAGCGCTCCCGGCGGCAAAAAGTGCATTGTTCTCTCTAGGCTGTAAGTCGGGCGTGTCCTTCTACAGGAGGAGTGTCCAAAACTAGTCCACAAATTATATGGGGACGATTTTCTGATACTTTTGATGATGTTGTAAATATTCTGGAGTATCTTCATTTCTCTGCCAAAATCTGCCTGTAGGTGGACATGCCCGACCTAATTCTAGGCCGCGGAGTGGGGATTCAATGGAGGGCAGCCAGGGCTGCAGAAAAGGGGCCCTCCAGGGCCCCCCAAGGGGCCCCGGGCCCAGACGGGGGCCCTGTAGGGCTGGGGAAGTGCAGCTCTCTTCCCCCGCCCATTCCCTCCACTTCCTCCTTCCATATCTTTCGACCTCCGCGGAAGGTGCAGAATGATTCACCGATTCACCGAATCTCATGGACACCTTACGTAAGTTCAAAGAGACCCACATAGATCGTGTCGAGGAAGGGGCGGAAAGTTAGGGCGGATGGTCCCGAAGAATGAGGGGGAGGGTTGATCGCCCCCCCATGAATTCGCGCCCAACGCTTCTCCAATGGGGGTTGTCGTCGGCGGTCGTCGTGCTAGGCTCGGCCGCCGTCGTTCGTCGTGGTCGGTTCGCCGTCGCGCCGTTCTTCGTGCGGGCCCTGGAGAGCGAGGGGGCGGAGGGTTTCGCGGCAGCGCCCCGCGGGGCTCGCTGGAGCGCGGGAGATCTTCGGCAGTGAGCAGCACATCGTACGGCAGAGTAGTGAGAGATGTGCAGCTTTCGTAGATCTCATCAGCTGTATCGAATGAGAAAACAACACCATAAACACAAACGTTTGACGCTCCGAGTGGATTTCTTGGATCCGCGCTGGGCCCCCCGTGCCGCGCCTCCGGCGCCGCCCCTGCGCGGATCCAAGGAGTCCGCGCGGAGCGCCAGCAGTTTATGTTTCTGCAGCTTTTTCTTTCTATTGCAGCGGCACGAGTGTAAGCACGGGAGCGCAGCATGCCAGCATCGCGTGCACAGGCGGAGCTCCCGAGCATCCCAGCTGTAGCGCTGCCTCGCAGAGGGTCTGGTCGAGGGAGGGGAATTAAGGGCGGCGAGTCGGGCGCGGGTGAGGGGACAAGCACCGACCAGTGAGAGGCAGCAGCAAGAGCAAAGCAGCTTACTCGTGCTGTCTCCCGTGCCGTCCAAGTCGGCCCTCATCTGAGGTTGCGTGCCTCAGGGGCCCCGACAGGCCAGTGCTTCACTTGAGGAGGGTGAGCTGCAGATATGATTTAGAAACTTTCGTGAGGGTCGAAGCTACCCATTCCCAGAATTTCGTGCAAAGCTGGTGTTAGTTCCAGACACTGGTGGATTCTCTGGACTCGCCTCGTCTCGTCTCCTCCTCCAGCGGCGCGCGCGGGTCTGCCGCGCGGCCTGAGCACAATAGTCGGGAGCTGGCGCACCCCCCCCCAACCCAGGCGCGGCCCACCGCTCAGCGGCGAGCCGCCCCCGAGGAGGAAGGGGTGCGCCAGCCGGGGCCTATACCTCGCATGCCCGGGACCGCGTAGTAGGCGAACGCCACCATGCGGTCCAACCGCCCGGCGCCGCGGTCCCGCCGCCAGGCTTGCGCCGCCCTGCGCCCGCGCCGCCAGCGGCCGGGCGCCTCGCCGCTACCAGCGCGCGCCGCCCTGCGCCTGCTCCGCGTGCCGCGCCGCCTCCGCGCCCGCGCGCGCGCGCCTCCAGCGCGCCGCCGCGGCGCCGCCGCCGCCAAGCCGCCGCTGGCGCGGTGCGTCCCAGCTTCGCGCGCCTCCGCGGGCCCGCTGCCCTGCCAGCCCGCTGCCCTGCCAGCCCGTTCCCCGGCCAGCTCGCCGGCCCCCTACCGCCCGCGGCAGCGCCCCTGGCTCCGCGCGCCGCTCGGTGCCGCCGCGGGCCCGCAGCCTTGCCGGGCCGCCGGCCCTCCTCTTCCTCCTCCTCCTCCTCCTCCTCCTCCTCCTCCTCCTCCTCCTCCTCCTCCTCCTCCTCCTCCTCCTCCTCTCCTCCTCCTCCTCCTCCTCCTCCTCCTCCTGCTCCTCCTCCTCCTCCTCCTCTCCTTCTCCTTCTCTTGGCCACGTGCGTGGCAAGGCAGCAGAGTCCAGCATAATCCTTCTCTTCTCTCCTCCTCCTCCTCCTCCTCCTCCTCCCCCCGTCCCCCTTGCTCCTCTTCCTCCTCCTCCTCCCCCTCCTCCTTCTCCTCCTTCTCCTCCTCCTCCTCCTTCTCCTCCTCCTCTTCCTCCTCCCTTTTCTCCTCCAAGGCGCACTGCTGCTACTGCTGTTGCTGCTGCTCCTCCTCTTCATCCAGGTCCGGCCGCCCGACCGCCCCCGGCTCGTCCCCTCATGCCCCCCGCCCTCCCCCCCACGCCGCCTCGAGTCCTCTTCAGGGCGGTCGCCGTTGCAAACCGGAGCCCCCAGGCCCCCTCATTTCGACGGGCGGTATTTCGTTATTCTCGGCTTCTGGGGGCCCCTGCCGGGCCTCGGGACCGTCGAAAAAGTGCTCGGAATGAAGAACCAGTCCTGGGGAATGGATCGGGATTTTCGAGGGTCCACATTTCGGACGGGTTAGCACGAGGATTAACATGTTCCAGAGCGTTCCGGAACGCTCTCAGAGCGTTCCGGAACACTCTGAGAGGCCCGCGGCGCCCGATGCATGTTCCAAAGACGCCGTATCTCAGAGATTCTCGATTTATCCTCGTCCGATGTTGTCCTCGTCTTGGCCTCGTCCTATTTTCATGAACAAAACCAGGCAGCGGGAGTCCTGGACATTCCCCCTCCTGGGAAGGCCGCGCGCCCCCACCTGCCCGCTGGCCCGCCCCCTCCCTTCCCGCCGGTCAGGCGCTGGAGCTGGAGCTGCGGCGCGCGCTGGAGCTCGTCGCCGAGGAGGGGCCGCGGGGAGAGCCGCGCAGCTAATCCGGAGCCAGCGGGGATAACACAGATCAGCCTCCCCGAGAACATGACAGAGACTAATCAGGACACTGGCAAGTCGTGGAAACGACACCCTTCTCCTGCAGAGTCAGAGTTTGGTCGTCCACTGCATGTTGTTGTTGCTGCACTTGGCCGTCCAGTGAAATTGTCTGTTGCTGCACTGCAGGATTCGGGCCTTCGCCCGGGTTTGAGGGAGGCTATAGCCTCCCTTAAACCAGACGAAATCAATGTAAACATGCATCTATGCATGTTTACATAAATTTTTGTCCTGGTTGATCCCTGGAATGCCTGCAGCAGTTGTTGTCCTGTCCGCCCTCTCGTGCAGTGCAGTTTTTGGGTGCGTGCCGCCGTCGGGTAAAACTGGTTTCGAGGGATATCCTGGTCGTGCGGTGCAGTCGGACCAAGGCGCAAGATCGTGGTCGGTTCGGGGTGGGTACCCTAGTGTTCTTTGTGTCTGTTGGATGCTCTTGCGCACCCTGGGGAGGGTACCCGTCGGTATTCTGTGCGTTTTGGCCCGCGGAGGGTCTCGTGTTCTTGAAGGATGTTCTTCTGGCCTATGTTCGACTGTAAGGCAGGGTCGCGTCGTGTCGACCAGGGGCGACCCCGCCGCGGGCGTCCGACGTCGAGCGCTGCCGGCTCCCAGACAATCGGTAGATGTTGAGCGATGTGACGCTTCGGAAGCGGCCGATCGTTCAAGGTTGAACCAGCCCCAGTATTACTTGTTCGTCGAACCTACGAGAAGGACGTAGCACGTTTGAAGATTCGACAACCATTCTACGCATTGTTCGTAGATATTCGACGGAGGAACATCAATGTTAGGGTAATCAATTATGTTGTCCATCCCCTATTCGAAATGTTGACCTATCCCCGCGTTGTCAGGAACGTAGGCCTCCCAGATGGGGTCGGAGTAGATGGGGTCGGAGGATCCCGCCGCATCGCCGACGCATCGCCGATGCGTCTCGATGCGGAGCCCGATTTTCTCCACGCCGACGTCGCCGATGCGTCGCCGACGTCGGCGATACATCACCGATGCATCGCAGATGCATCGCCGATACATCGGCGATGCGGCTCGATCTTCCGACACCGTCTACTCGGACCCCATCTAGGAGGCCTCTACGGGAACAGCGCGATTTTCGCCTGGATGCAATCGTGTATCCTTTCAAAGGCAGTTCACGCCCTTTTGCAACAGCTCGTGCCCCCCAGCAGTAGTTCGCGCAAGAGTTCACCTCCCACGGGCCCTCCAGTGACATTGTCCCCATCGCTCCAGTCTAAGTTGAGGCAGCGTTAGGGGGGGGGATACGCTCAGGGGGGGCACAGTTTCTTACCAGGAAGGTCCGAGGTTCAAGGTTCGAGGGCGGCGTCGTCGGTTCTCGGTGGTTTTTCAGCCTCTGGGAGCATTAGAGGGGTGCGCATGGAGAGCGTTCTGCGGGTGCCAGGATCGTTTCGAACGGAAGACAGAAAGACGAGATTCGGCGCGCCAGAACCCGACACCAACACCAATATCTTTCTGAAACCGAAGAGTATCAGCTTCATAACTTAGTATGTGTCTTCGTGATCGTCTGTCCGTTGTCAACCAACATGTCGTGGCAAGAAGCAAGACGTCGCGGGCCTCCCCCTCTTCCCTTCCAGTGAGCACGATGAGGCCATGGAGCATTTTGAGGTCTCGGGCCCTACGAGCCCCATGAGTTTTGATACTGGGCCTTGGGCTCAGTTGGGCCTGCGTTGATCGGCGGCCCTGGCGTTCCCTCGGGCTTTAGAGGGCCCCGCTCACCCAACCAACCAGCATCCCCTGGGAAAGTGCTCCCAACTTTTCCAGTCGCGTCTTGGTGGCGGTACCGGCTTTCCGATATTGGCACTAGTGGAGAGCCGACACCAAAACCATTGCCCGTGGGAACGGTGCCCTTCAGGGTACCTGGTCTTGCGAGGATTTTGCAGGTATGGCCTGGTCCTGAGGGCTGCGAATCCAGAGCGCTTGGCTTGGGCCGCCCTGGGTTTGCCGCGGTCCTTGTCCATTAGGTGTTTCGGGGAATCTCCGGATTCCGGTGCTCGTCGTTGGCTGCTGGGCTCTCACGGTTGGGCTTTGTTGCGGGCCTCTCAGGCGATGCTTTCTGTTATTGTCCCCGCTTCTCTCCTCTGCGATTCGGTGAGCCAGGACGGATTCGATCTGTCTCAAAGCGCAATTCCAAATCCAATGGAACATTTTGTGTTTGGTGCAGGTCTCGGCTTTCTGCCCTCCCAGAGCTGTGATCCGAAAACCAAGGGGCAACGTTGGGGGGAGATGGGTTCAGGGAGAGATTGCATCGGCCCCCAATCACCTATTCATCGCCAACGTTAGGCGGAGGTATGTTCAGGGGGAGATTGCAACAGCCCCGAATCGCCCATCTATCGCCGATGGGGACCGGATGGCCCACCCCAGCCAGGAGTGTGCGCATCCGTTACCGGAGGCATATCGCCGACCTCTCAGTGATGTGTCGCCGATCCCAGCTCGATACAGCTCGATGATCCCCCCCGCTTTGAGCCGATCCCGCCTTGACGTGCCCCTCAGGGCCGCGGGGGGATCCGTGAAGATCCTCCCTGCGGGATTCTGAGTCGGCGGCGCGCCCAGGGGAAGCGAGAGGAGGCAAGGCTCCTCAAAGGCCCTCCGCCCTTTTGAGAAGCCGCCCCTGTCTCCTGGCATCGCTCGGACGTGTGCATTTTTTCGGCGAGGACCATTGAGGACGATCCTGGACCATCGAGCAACAAAAAACACGCACGAAACCGACAAATGCACGGGAAATGGACGTCCGAGCGATGGCGAGGTCTTCGGAGAAGGATGAGAGAACCGCTCCGAAGGCCCGAGGCCTGCCGAACCGTCTGGGAAGGCCCGACCCCTGGGCTCGCAGCCGACTGGAAGCCTGGGGATCCTCGAGGAATCGCCTCTCCTCCTCCTCCTCCTCCTCCTCCTCCTCCTCCTCCTCCTTCTCCTTCTCCTTCTCCTTCTCTTCTCTTCTCTTCTCTTCCTCCTCCTCATCCTCCCCGTCCCCCTTGCTCCTCTTCCTCCTACTCCTCCCCCTCCTCGCGCGGGGGCCTCAGTGGGCGCGCTCGGGGCCTCACAGTTAACATGACCGTGATATTCGTTGTCTTCGGCTGACGAAATTGGCGTCGCAGAAGAATTTCGACGGTGTCTCAATCGAAAGGGGCCAAATCACTCTGCGCACGGCAACTTGGATTCTAGAGATGCGTGGATGCCTCACGTGAAAATGTTCAGACCACCTCGCGCGCGAAAGGTGGGAGCCCAGATCAGACCAACAGGACGACTCAAGCGAAAGCGCGCCCGCAGAGGCCCCAGCGCGCTCCCAGAGCGCGCTCGCTTCACCAATCCTGCTTCGTTCCGTTCTCTCCTTGCCTGTTCGGCGGTTTTTTGCAGTTCTTCCCACGTGCAGCTCGCCCGCAGTCGAGAGGCCTCTGTGGTTGTGATTGCGCGCCACGTGTGCACCTGCGAATGGATGTCGCCGAATGTCGCTGAGCAGGATCATCGGACCGATTGCCGCACAATGTGTGGCATTTGTGGCTGAAACCTAAGCGTTCGCGACGCGCTCCGGCGGTTCCAGTATGCAGCTGTATATCCAGATACATACATACATACATACATACATACATACATACATACATGCATGCATGCATGCATACATACAAGAGGGACAGAGAGAGAGACAGAGACAGAGAGAGAGACAGAGAGACAGTGGGAGAGCATAACCAAACGAACATATCAGCGTCAACGTCAGGGGGGTAGATAGGCCCAGAGGGGGATGCATCGACCCCCAATCGCCCACTCATTTCCGACATGGGCCCGACAGCCCGACCCGCCCAGGAGCGGTTGAATTCAGTATCGGGCGCCCATCGCCGATCCATCGGCGATACATCTACGATTTGAGGTCGACGTTTTCCTCCTCAGCTGGTCTCTCCCGCATCTCCCCCCTGACAATGATCGTTCCAGGGTTGACAAGATTCCCTATGCTTCCGCGCGGGCTCCAGAACAGATGGCCGCCACATACTCCCGAATGCTTGGAGCGCATTCTGGGCAATTTTTGTTTTTCTTTATTCGTATTATCATCCTGTCGTCGTCGTTGTCGATCGCCTCCCTGGCACAACCTGCCCCTACCGTTGCCCCTCATTTCTTGGGGGGCCATCGGCACGCGGCCAGGCGGCAAGTCCTGGCGAGGCTTCCGTCGAGTTCGGCCTCTTGTCGGGCAGCGCGGCCATCACAAACATGGATCCAGGACGAAACACCGCCCCCCGGGGAAGTGGTTGGGTTTTCTGGGGCTGCGCATTCGAAAAGTCTCATCGTTGGATCTTTGGTCGGAAGGTTATCTGCAGTTCGTTTCTCGACGTCCAGGGGCCCATCACCAGGCCCCGTGGCTGTCCAGCGTCGGTCGGGAAGGCGTGCTCATGGCTGGCCTTTTCCGCAAGTTCCTGGCTCTTGATCAACAGGCAGGCTGAGCCGAGCATCCGGAAGGACGCGTGGGCAGAAGAGTGCACGATTGGCAGCTCTTCGTGGAAATCTAAAGTACGCCCGCTCGACTGTGAAGCAGAAGAACGGGTTGCGCATCATGACTGTGAAGCAGGAGACACAACAGGAGCGGGAGGGGAACGAGGAGCGGGCGAACTGGAGTCACAAACAAGACAAAGCATACACCGAAGTCGCCCACTGTTATCGCGGGCACCCTCGTTTCCGGCGGCAGGCCCAGTTTTTGGGAATGCCGTCCGCATCGCACAAGATGTCTTTGATCAGGGATGGGTCTGGGGAGCTGGCGATTCGACTGTACAGAGCTATCTGGTGTTCCTTCAGAATCTCAGATAACGGTGTCGACGACGCTCGCTGCAACACGTCGCTGTTGCGAACACGAGAAACAAAAGAGTGGGGAATACCCAATATACGCCGCAGGCATTTGCAGTGGAAGCTGTCCAATCTCGAC